CCCTTCTTTTCTTTGCTGCTCGCCGAAGCCTCCCGTGTTTCTCAATCTCGCGTTAAATAAATTCCAACCACAAAACAAAACAAAACAAAAACCCCAACAAAACGGCAAAAAGAAACTCGCCGTGTCAGTTAGGGACTGCTTTATTTTACACTCCTGACATTTTAAAAGGTTAACAAGGTGGGAAGGTGGCCAAGGACAACACCGCCAAGCGAGCAACCATTTCGCTTTAGCTTGAGGGACGTCAAAAAGGAGATTACCCTCCGAGCAAAGCAGGGGCCGGAGCGGAGCCCGCCCGAGTTTGTAACCCGGCAGTGGCGCTCGGCGCGGCCCAGGCCCGGCCGGCCTGTGCCGGGGAAGGAGCAGACCCGCACGGGCCCGGCAGCCGCTGTCCCTGCTCCGCCGTAAGGGAAGCGCCGGAGCCGGTGGTGCCGGGCCGGGACGCTGCGGGGAAAGCCCAGATCCCCGGCGGAGCAGGGCGGCCCGCGGGGTCCCCGCGTGTCCCCGTGTACTTAGAAGGGTTTTTTCTCGCTTCCCCCCTCCCGCCCGCCAGACAAGGAGCGCAGCGGCGAGCAGAAGAGCGAGGACGGCACCGCCGAGGACCCCGCCAAGAAGAAGAAGCAGCGGAGGCAAAGGACGCACTTCACCAGCCAGCAGCTGCAGGAGCTGGAAGCCACTTTCCAGCGGAACCGCTACCCGGACATGAGCATGCGGGAGGAGATCGCCGTGTGGACCAACCTCACGGAGCCGCGGGTCCGGGTAAGCAGCGCGCCTTGGATTCGGAGCCGCGCCGGCGGCGGGGGGCGCCTGATCCTGGCCGGGCGCCGGTTCCCGAGACTGCGATGGGCAGATGCTTTGTTAAAAGGCCTCTTAAGCGGCCCCGCGACGGGCGGAAAGCGCGGGGGCAAGTCCAGCGCAGCCTGCCCGTGGGCAGCGCGTTTCCCTTGCTCTTGTCCCTGCGGCCGCGGAGCCCCCGCCCTGAGGAGCCGCCTTGGACATTTTGCTATAGGGCAGCGAGATGCGTGTTGTTTCTGCAGCGGCGCTGCCTGGTGCGGTGTGTCCTCTCCCGCCCCTCGCCCCGCCGGTCCTGCGCCCAGCGCCTGGGCAGGGGGCGGCGTTGAACAAAGCCGCTCAGGCGCCGGGGCAGCCCCGGACGCTGCGCTGGCGGCCCCCAGCCCGGGAAATAAAAAGTGCCCCCCGACGCCGTGCCTGGCGCAGCCCCCGCCGCTCCGCCCATCGAGCTGGCGCTAGGAAGCAGAGGCAGGATCGCTCCCCAGCCCTGTTGCTGCCCCGGGATAGCAGGGGGCAAACGAAGCAGCGGGCAGCTCTGCGCTTGGTCGCGTCTTCCCGGACGGCGGCTCTGCCGGGGGTGGGGGGCTGCTCTGGCAGCCGCACTTCACCCGATCGCCGTCGTTTTCAGGAAACCCCTGTCCGGAAGCCCCTTCCGAGGGCCCAGCCGAGCCTGGCCCAGGTCTCTGCACGAGATACTGATTATTTTTCCAAGCAGCCTCCGCGATCCTTCTCCCTCCAGCTTTCCACTCCGGCCTGGCTGCTTCTGCCCGCCGCCGCCCCGGGCTCCCCTCCCCGCGTGCGTGGCCCGGCCCGAGGGCCCCGGAGTGTGCGGGGCCCGGCTTGGGGAGGGGGTCCCGGCTGCTGCAAGCCCCGCAGGGAGGGGAGCGATCCTGGAGAAGCCGAGGCCCGCCACTTCCCCGAGCCCTGGCCCGGCCCCCGCGTCTTCCCTGATCCACTCCCCGGTTTATGATCTGTCCCGGGGGGGGGGGGGATTAGGGGCA